AATTAAATAAATAAATATATGTAGCTTCTGTAGATTTTCTCTATGTTTCTGTGTTGCATGTCATCTGATTTGCAACTTTCAATGCAACTTTTCCAACTAATCAGCTTGTTTATTTAGTCCATTTATCACATGACATAAAAAAGACCCAAAAAAGATTAAAGCTAATGTATTATTATAACTAATCCATGATTATAGCTAATCTTGGAATAATAATACAAAATGGAACAACTGTAGGGATTACCTTTATACAGTTAATACTGTAGATCATTAGCATCTTCAGTCGACTCTAGCATACAAAACAACATAAAAAACTTTCAAATAAGGACTGAAATTTTCCTCTTCTGAATTTTAGATCTTGGCAAGTCAGCATGGATCTATGGCTAAGTATCATCCATTGAATCAAAGAGTTATGCAGTGGTTTCCAACTAGAGCCTTCAACTTCAGCTGAAGCTACTTTGAACTGGGCAGAGCGGAATGCTGCAGAATGCAGTAGCCTCAACCACTGCATGCAATGTTTGGGGCTACTGCAACCTAGCAGTAATGATCTCCTACCATAAAGGAATCTTCATCTGAGTCTGGAAGCTGAGATGGAACAGGAAGTACTGTGACTGCATTTACCTAAGATAACGTTACTATGGCTGGAAAGGTGGATGTAACCATATACCAGACACCCAGAAAAGATTGATCTGCTAAGAAAGAATAGTGGCAGATGGGGTGCAGATACATCACCGGAACATTTCATTTTATACATTTCTCCTTTACTGACTAGACAAGGTGTCCTTTTTCAGGTGTAGGGCAATGCCAATGGATTCATAAGTGGACTCTTATTTTATTGTAACTATAGTGGTGTTACAGTGGAGGGACCTGGTCAGGGTCTACTGGTGGCAGTTGTGCACATAGAACTGGATTGAATTTGGTGGGAAATAGGGCATGCAGGCCCATTCCAAGATGGGAATCCCTGTTAAGATACTGGTCTGAATAGTAGTGGCCAGGTCAGAGGCAGCTTTTCCTCCCTTTACAGCACATAGTGTCTTGGGAGTCCAAATGTTTTTGCACATACAATGACACCTAATTAAGATCATTCCATGGGTACCTAAAAAGCAGGCTGCAAAGAGGCACTGGCCAGCAAATAGGTGGTCTGATGTTTATATCCACTATAACTACAGTATTTTATCCAGCTGTTAATAGATTTCTGGGATTGTAGTGTTTGATACATTCAAAGACAATTGGCTGTATGTGCAGTCATGCTGTTTGGACCACAGTCCCAAAGACAATGTACCTTGTGAATCTGGAGATCTTAAAACATTTTCATATATCCTGCTGTACTGTACATTTTGTAGGAGGATAGGATAGCTAATCTACCCGATACAGATAGCCTTGCCAGGCCACCCCAATGTGTAGAATCAAATGTAGAAGGACAGAATATTAAAATTATCAGCAATTACATATGCCAGAATGAAGATGCTATTTTTTTCTAGAACTTTCACTAAACATTATCTCAGGATTTTTGAGACCAGCTTCTGCCCATAAATTTTGAAAGAGAAAATCAGCTTGAGACCTAGGGCAATCTGAACTTTTGCTCCTATCAGTCAGGTCCCAATTAGCTGACTCTTTAACTCCTTCCTGGTAAAACAGGTTTATCAGAATCAAGCTCATAAGGGGATTTGATGTCTGGTTGTAAAAATGGAGACACAAAAAGAAAATTAATTTAAAAACCCAAACAATAGTTAAAAACTATTTTTATATAGAGAGAGAACAAATAATATAAATATAGAACCAATATTATGAAGGCCAGTATTGTAGGCTGTGAAATTGCTGGGTTTTTGTTTCTATTTTGCTTTGTGGCTGGGAATGGTCTTACTTGATGTTAGCACAGCTTTGTTGTCTATGTCATATCGTAGTCTCCATTCCACCCATCTGGTTGCTATACAACTGTTTGCCAATTAAAAACAAAACTCCAACAATGCTATATGCCATCAAATCACTTCTGATGTGTAGTGGCTATATTTATTTATGTACATTTATATCCTACCCAACTAGTAGCCAAGCTACTACTCTGGCCGGTTAACAGAGCAACACATAGTCATCATCAAAAACAACAGCAACAACAACAACACAATAAAACAAGAGCAGTAATTAATGGCAGGCTGGCGGCAGGAGGGATGCATAAAATTACTTATTTAGGGGGCAAACTATTGAAAGGTTTGGGAAAATACCAGGTCTTCAGTTGTCTCCTAAAAGCCAGGAGTGATGGGGCCAGTTGAACCTCTGGTGCGAGGGAGTTCCAAAGTGAAGTGACCATCATAGAGAAGGCCTGGTTTCAGGTGGCTGATTTCCGGGTCTTCTTCAGGGTGGTCACCTGGAGTCACCAAGTATGAGAGGTGTGGGTGGGAAGGGTAGATATTTTAAGGGAGAGGTGCTCAGCCAGATAACAAGGTCCTAAACTGTTAAGGGCTTTAAAAGTTAGCATAAGCACCCTGAACTTGGCCCAGAAGCAAACAGGCCGCCAGTGCAGACAAGCCAGGATAGGGGTCATAAAAAGATGCCCCAGAGACTACCCTGACAGCAGTGCTGTGCACCTGCTGCAGCTTCTGAACCACCCTCAAGGGCAGCCCCACATAGAGAGTATTGCAGTAGTTTATTTTCAAGATTACAAGCGCATGGATCAATGCTGTAAGGCAGGGGTCCCCAACCCCGTCTGCAACCCAGCAGCGGTCCGCAGCCTAGGCAGGACCGGGCCGTGGACACAGATCTACTGCCCCGCCGAGCACAACACACACAGAGCGAGCGTGACACGCCCCCCGCGTGCATGCATGACACCCGTGTGTGACACCCCTCCACATGCATGCACGACACCCCTGCGAGTGTGACATGACCTGTATGGTTGGGAAAAGGTTGGGGACCACTGCTGTAATGGGCTTCCTGTCAAGCTAGGGGCAAAAGGGCGAGTGAGTGTATCACAAGAAACATACACACCCTTTAACCTGAGAGATTAAAGGGTGTGTATGTTTCTTGTTTTACACTCACTCTTTTGCTTCACTGTTTAAGTCCAAAAGAGTTCTTCAAAATATTTTGGTGCAGAAAGACTGCAGCCACATCCCACTTGTTCCTGGTTCTGTCTTCCCCCAGCATCCATAATACGTATCATTTGGGATCCTCTAGCACTGGCAATTCTACATCAGGAAAGCTGCTTTTGGAAACTGTATAGTTTACATTCACTTAAATTTCTGTTTTAAAAAGCCAGAAAATTCAATTCTTAAAAAAGAACCCACTGATTTATGAATGTGGAATATTGTGATTTTATACCCATGATTCAAAAATGCCAGCAAATGGTTGTTGCACACTATCATGCCTGCATTGCCAGCAGGAAAAAGGCTGCCAAATTTACATAACAAAGGGCAGCCTGAATATTGACAGCACTCATGTCAACAGTCAGAACAGTCTGCAGCAGTCATTCCCAGTGGGGGCCTTATGGCTCCCTGAAAGGTCAGAGGACATTGGAAGCGGACCATAGACTGGAAACAATTCTTCATGCACCACCTTATAAGGTTCCTTATGAGACTTATAAATCCTGATTCAGCCTATATTTTATGTTGTGTTTGTGGCTGTGGCCAAAGAAGCTTGAGAATGGCTAGTCTACAGAATACCCTCTTGTGCTCACTACTATCCAGAGAAACCAAGCAGGGGAATTCATCCTACATTGCCTGGGATGAAACCCCACATCTCTAGCTAATGCAAGAAGCTTGCAGTTTCCACCTGAAGGTATTTCTGCAGAATTTGCTCAGGAGGTTACACTATTCTGTTTCTCTCTCTCCCCGCCCCCCGCCCCCAGTTCTGCAATGCCCAGCCTAAACAGGGATCTTCCTGGATTTAAAAACTCGTTTATAATACTGTAATGGTAGAATAACGACATTAGCTACTCTTTGTTTTGATAACTTTTACAGAACAGCGGGCGAAGCACTTTTATTTTTATTATTTATTATGTAACTTCATATATGTTGATAAACTTTCCTACGACTGAAAAACTAACAACATTGCTTTCCTGTTTTTGTTAACACTGTTGCCCACTTAACTTGGCTCTCAGGGGCCTGCTCCCTTCTTGCCACCTGCCTCTCTCCGTCATACCTGAAGAAAACCCCTTCCAGCAAATCCTGTCTACAAAGAAAAGAAATCATATTTTACAATTTCTGGGTTCTACCTAAACTTCAAAGCCTCGTTTCATTATCGTATCTGGAAAAAAAAACGCTTCCAGCAAATCCTGACTACAGATAAAGGAAATTATATTTTACAATTTCTGGGTTCTACCTAAACTTCAAAGCCTCGTTTTATTAGAGACCAGAAGCAGCACACTAACAGGCGAAAAAAAAATGGAATAAGGATAGATCGGGAGAGAGTAGCTGTTAGAAATCTTAGAAACCCGCTCTTTCGTGGCCCGGTAAAACGAATCTCACTGCCACGCTTAATTGAACAAGAAGGGAAAGAAAACGCCAAAACAGAGGCTAGCCGTGACTCGGTCGCGCGTTTACGTCATCGTACGTGCCTGGAAAGGGGTGGGACTCCCGCCAAATTTAAACGGCCGGCTGGGCGCGTCTTCGAGAGGCTGTTGAGTGGCTTCTTTGTGGGAGGTCGAGCCCGTGAGTGGGGCGCCTGCCTCCATTTCTCAGCTGGGTTTGGGGGCGCCTCTTGGAAAAGGGCGCCGAGCGAAAAGGGGGCAATTTGGGAGGCAAACTTTGTCCCCCTTCCTCTTAAGGGGCGGGAACGACAGTTTTCTTTAACGACGCGGGAAAAGGAAGCGGCGGCGGCGGCTCCACCAGGTAGAAGCTCTAGGGCCGTGGGGAGGGATGGGGAGCATGAATGCTGGGGACAAAGACGAGGGGCGGCCGTCGTCGTCGTCGTCGTCTTGCGCTTGAGGGTCCCGAAGGCCCTGGGAGGGTTCCGGTGAGAAGCAGAAAGGCGGGCTAGGTGAAGCTCTTGGACCCAGTAGGGCGGCTCTTCATTTCCTCTGGAAGAGCGAGGGTGCGAGCACCGTGGCTTGCTTTGGAAAGGCCGGAAACAACACACACACACACAGAATGGGGGCGGAAACGACACACACACACAGAGGAGGTGGTGGTCCTGGTGGGCCGGAAACAACACACACAGAGTGGTCCTCGGGTAGGGAAGTGGCCTGGGGAGCTAGGAGAGGGTCCCTTTTTTCTTCTGAGGTAAAATGGCAACTGCAATTCTGGAAGGAATGCACTCGGATGTGAAGTTCAATGTATATATATATATGTCTCAAAACTGGTAATCGTTTCACATAGCACCTTGGTCTCCAAGACCCTGCGAGAAGGTCAGCACTCTTTGGGGGTGTGTGTGTGTCAAATGCAATATCTGCCTCTGTCGCGGTTATTTTAAATACCGTAGGCGATTTATCAACATTTTCAGTTGATTGCAGGAATGTGCCTATAAAAACGTATTTGCATATTTTAATCTCTGTTTTGTTAATAGGTTAAGCTGCATAATTACCTTATTGGGCTAAAGTTTTCAAACTTAATTTTCTTGAAATGCAAACAGCGTTTATTGTGCTTTAATGTGTTGCAGCTTTTGCAATCTTACTGTGAAAATGTAAAGTTGGCTACTTTAAATTGGAGGTTTGAAGAGTAATACACTGATGTAACAATTGTATCAATTCTGAGTCTGCTTATTGGCAAAGGTGTACAGTATTAGAGAGCCCTGTCAGTTTTTCCCTGCTGTGATCAGTGTGAAGGGAGTGGCTGATAGCAAGTGTACTATTTTTCCAGGCTTATTTCAGGTTTATCTGAGATGTAATTAAGAAAGTTTCAAGGCTATTGTATTATTTCTTTTGCAGTGGCTACTTAACAAAATATTTAAGTATTTAATAAAATATTTAATGTATTTTCACAAGTATAACGTGACAGTTACTCATGTGTTACAGTAGACTTTTCCTCACATGAGCAGATAAACTTACATTTAGTTATCATCTGCTTTGTCTCTAAACCCATACTTTATATTTTGTTTTCTTGTAGGATGGATAATTGTACTTTTCCAAGATATAATGAAAATGATATAATTGTACACATAAGAACCCACTTACTGACTTGTACTGAAGCTAAAAACTTTTCGAAAAATGATTTATTTCCAAATGTCAAGGTAAGATCTATGGAACAGCTTACTCCTTAAGTGAAATTAAAATGCAACACTATGATATATGTGGTGGTGCTGCGGGCTAAATCGCAGAAGCCTGTGCTGCAGGGTCAGAAGACCAAGCAGTCGTAAGGTTGAATCCACGTGACGGAGTGAGCGCCCATCGCTTGTCCCAGCTCCCGCCAACCTAGTGGTTCGAAAGCATGCAAATGCAAGTAGATAAATAGGGACCACCTTGGTGGGAAGGTAACGGTGTTCCGTATCTAAGTCGCACTGGCCATGTGACCACGGAAGATTGTCTTCAGACAAACGCTGGCTCTATGGCTTGAAAACGGGGATGAGCACCGCCCCCTAGAGTCGAACACGACTGGACAAAAATTGTCAAGGGGAACCTTTACCTTTATCTATAATATATGTGTGGCATTCATATCTCAGCCTTCTCAATGTGAAGAAGGGTTACTGAATTGAGCAGCTGTGGCTATTTATTTCCTAGCAAAATCATTCATTTTAAATAAGTTTTTATGTTTAGCCAAAAAAGTCTCCCAGAGTGACTCAGAAGAACAGCTCTGCCACATTTTACAGTCTGAAAGACAGGATGCATGTCAATGCTGATGTTTTTTTTTCTCTCTCCACATGTTTGCACAGATTTGAATGGTATGCATTTCTTGTTTCTTACAGAGTTTGTTTTGAATATTGTTTGGCCTAGTAGTACCTGTAGTTTCAAATATTAGCACCAATTAAGAAACAGTTAAGCTCTTACTGCCCACACAGCGGTTCCAGCATGCTTTAATGAAGGCAGATTAACTGGAAAACAAGATTCTTGTTTGTTTAACTTAAATCCTTCCATTTTCCCAGAGGTTGGAGTCAAAGTTTCTCAAACTGATTTTTAAAAATAGGTACAAATAGAAATTATAAAACCATAACATTAAAATGCAAGCGAGTTATGAAATACAACTGAATTAAACCCATCTTAAAACAGCATCAATTATAATAGATTACAAGCACAACATTCATTATTTACACTCCAGAAAAGCTTCTTCCACTGCAAGTGAATTTGCTTTGTCCTTAGCATAGAACTGTAGAACTGGAAGGGATTCCCAATTATCATCTAGACCAGTGGTTCTTAACCTTGGGTTACTCAGGTGTTTTTGGACTGCACCTCCCAGAAGCCTTCACCACCAGCTGTGCTGGCTGGGGTTTCTGGGAGTTGCAGTTCAAAAATACCTGAGTAACCCAAGGTAAGGAAACACTGATCTAGACCAGTCCCCTAGAAATGCAGGAAATCCACAGCTTAACATCCCTGATCGCTGGCTGTCCAGCCTCTGCTTAAAACTCCAGCGAATCCACCATTCCATGAGGCAGTGTTTCCATTGTCAAATGGCTCTCACTGTCAGATGAACTTGGGTAAAAAAAAGGGCAGGAAAGTAGGGTGGGTGAGGGAACACCTTCTAAACAGAACACCTTTTAACCCAAGCACGTTTGAGTCTACAGTAAACTCCATTTTAAAGCCTGCCTGCATCAACAAGCACCACAGCTCCTCACAGAATATTTTCTGATTTTAAGAGAGAGACCCTGGAGCCACATTTTAAACACACATTTTAAAACAAGAGAGGTCACAGTACACAAACCCTAGGAGCCACAGAATGCAAAAACATAAATTTTACATTTTTAAATTGCAGTCTAATTTTCACATTTAATTTTAATATAATATTACAGTCTACTTTTCACATTTTAATCCACACAGCAAGACCCATCAGAGCACAGAAACATAACCCCCCACCTAGCCCTACCTCCCCCCAAGCTGCAAAAACCGTGTACATTACAGTGGTGCCTCGCTTAACGAGCGCACCGTTTAAC